TCAGCAAGTGCTACTCTTACATCCTCGAAATCAAAATTCTTTTCCCCTGCGGTTTCTCCTACACTGGAAGCCGGTGTATTCGCAGGAGTTGGTGGTACCGACTCGCTGGATTCGGTGTTTTCCTTAGAATCTTCTGCTGCTTCGCTGGGATCTGGGCTTTCAGAATTTGGTGCTGCTTCCCCAGAATCTTGTGCTTCTTGCGGAGAACTTGGTGTTGTTTGTTCATCGGAATCGGAAACTTGCCCAGACATTGTTGCCCGTTGTTCACCGGAATCTGACATTTTCCCAGAAAATTTTCTTTCCCAAAACTCTATCGACTGAAAGGGTTGATTACGCAATGCAAGAAGCATTAATCTCACAGAGACTTCTCTCCGTCTTTCACCACCATCTTCGCTTATTTCTTCGTATTTTCGGGTTCCAGAACGATAGAGATTTCTGGTTCTCTCTCTCTCTTAATTTCTTGAAAGATTTGATGGGTGAATGGGGATGCAGAGCTCACGGACCTCTCGCCATCCATGGTTCATATATAAAATTTCAATTTTGATATGTGCTATGTTCTCTGATATGAAAGAATGTTTAGACCTATGTGCAGCCCAAGTGTTTGACGAAATGCCAAGCTCAAAATTTTCGAGAAGTTCTTTCTCTGCTTCACTGATAGTCTGCAAGGTTATTGGGTTTGATCTTTCTGCAACTCTTGATATATTTGGAAAAATGCGCGTGAATTCTTGCATTCTGGTATGTACAATTTTGTGGTTGTTCCGATTATGGTTTGTGTCAAAATTCAGAAATGTAATGTCTAAGAAGTTTGTTCATCAGCTAACTGAGGAGTGGTGCAATATTTTCCTTATTACAGCCTATAATTGTAGACATCGAAATTTCGGTGAAACAAATGTTCACCAACGTATTAAAGTTTTGACGTGTCAGGGCATACATGGCATACGCCACGTGTCGTACAAATTGTACACATGGCATGTGACTCAACAAAATAGGAAGAAATACCCTTGGATGATTAAACAAGTTTTTCTTCTCAATTTGGGCAATGACAAGGTAAGCACATTTCAATCCATTACGGATCAAAGCAAGTTTTTCTCATTTGGGCAATGACAAAGCAAGCACATTTCAAGTTTAAAATTGTATTAAGTGGGAAATTAGGCCATAAATAAGACCACTTTAATTTCAATATTGCATTAAGTGGAAAGTTAGGCCATTTGTTAGACCACTTCAATTTCAATATTGTATTAAGTGGGAAATTAGGCCATAAAGAAGACCACTTCAATTTCAATATTGCATTAAGTGGAAAATTAGGCCATTTGTTAGACCACTTCAATTTCAATATTGCATTAAGTGGGAAAATTAGGTAATAGTGCTTGGGTGGGAAAATTTTGTGGTGGTGATTCACTCTCAAAGCCTATAAATAGGCTTCTCCATCAAGAGAAATAGAACACACCAAAACCTTGAAGCCTTAAAGTTCTAAAGCTCTCAAGAAAATCCCGAAGGATCAAGAAAGCACTCTTCGTTCTTCGTCAAATCCTCCTTCAAGATCAAGCCCCAACGGCCCTTGAAGAACTTCCACCAACTCAAGATCAAGCCCCGACGGCCCTTGAAGAAAGTGTTCATCATTCATCATCCGTTCATCCTAAGATCAAGCCCCAACGGCCCTTTGGATCAACAACATCAACAAATCCACACATCCAACCGTTCTTCAAGATTAAGCCCAAAAGCCCTTGAAGATCCTGTTGGAAATGTGCTCTAAAACCAATCATATGATGATACTTTACGGACATTTCAAACTAATGTAGTTTAAATGTAAAGGGCAAACATTATTGTTTGAGCCGTCTCATATAAATGTTATATGCTTAAACGATAAGTCCAAGGAATATGTGATTGGAAGAATGCGATCTAAAGAAGTTAGATTCATGAGACCATTCTTTCGTTGACACATCCTAAACGTTCCTGATCATAGGATTGTCAATTGGGCATTGACAGTCCGTTAAGATCAGTACGTGCTATGTCTTCTCTCAGGGAGAGTGACTAGTCTCGAGTCATTGGTGTGTGTGACATCAAGACAAGTACGTAGGTGCTCAATAGAGAATGAGTTCACTGAACACGATCAACGAAGAGTTCTCATATTCATGTCACATGAGAACTCATGGTTGGGATAATGCAAATTAGTCTTTTGACCTGAGGCATCACAGTTGTCTTGTGGTTAGGTCCTTAATCTTTGATTATGTCAAAGTCACTCCATCATGAGGGTGTCCATGGCATCGTTGGGGTTAAGCCACTTAGCCATGGAGGCAAGTGAATGCGCAACAAGGGATCTCTAACCTTCAAACTGTTTGAGGGAGAATACTCTATGATATGATTTTGAATCTTTGGCCAAAGTATGAATGAGATTTAGGAATGTGTTCCAAATCACATTCAAGGTAATCATATAAGCACAAGACTCACATTGGATAGTAGACATGAATAAACTATCAAACCAAACAATGTGGTCAAGAGTATTGTATTAGAGAAAGACCGTATTGCATTTGTAATCCTAAAACTGAATAGGTTCTCCACCTCTTCTGATTAGCTTGGGTAACCATGACATGCTGCTAGGCGTCAACCATGGTTTGTGGAAGCCCTAAAAGTGTATTATCACTAACGGGAGAATTGAAAGTAAGTTTCAATTCACAATCGATTAGAAAGAGTTTTAATCGCCCACTGCCTCGCTAAAAGGAACCTAATGGATCGTTCACCGAGTAAGGTAGAGTTTGAAGAAACAACGGAGATGAGTAAGAATAATTAAATGGTTTAATTATTTATCTAAGGCTAGGATTAATTAATATGTTAATTAATCAAACGAATAAGTTCGTTAAAAGACCTCGGGTTAGTTTTGGGCCGCAAGGCCCAATGGGATTTGAATGTCAAGCCCATTAACTCAAGTTGTATGACAACTTGAATAAATAAAGGGCTTGAAAGCCCAATAAACCCTATAGGCTTGCCATGTTAGAAGAATAGGGCTTTTGGTCCATTAGGTCACTTATTTGAAGGGACTATATAAAGGACTTTATAGCCTAAAATTTACATATGGTAATTTTTGGGGAAATGATGAGAACACAAGCTCTCATTTCTCTCTAAAATTTAGGCCACCTTGGAGGGATCATCTAGCAATCAAACTCCTCCAAGGTCACTCATTTCTTCTTCATTATGCCTTGGTGATGAATCATTAGAGGTTCTCAATTTTGGGAACTTGGAGAAACCTTTTCATCCATCCAAATCCATGGATCTAAGATGCAAGGAATGAAGGCCCTCTCTTTGGGTGATTAGCCTTTGCTTATGCAAAGAGGAATCTACAAAGGTATTGATTTCTCAACTCACTTTGTTTTGAGTTGAGTCTTGGTTCACCTATCTACTAGGCTTTGAATTTCATGGGTAAATGTTTTGTTTTAAGTGCATACAAGCATGATTCCGCCTTTAATTGTTAATTGCATGCTATTGATGTTGCTTAAATGAACATGTTTTTCACAAATCTTCCTTCAGATCCGCTCATCCATCAACCTTCAAGATCAAGCCCAAAAGCCCTTGAAGAAATCCACACAACCATTATTCAAGATCAAGCCCCGACAGTCCTTGAAGAAAGTGTTCATCATTCATCATCCGTTCATCCTAAGATCAAGCCCCAACGGCCCTTTGGATCAACAACCTCAACAAACCCATACACCCATTCTTCAAGATCAAGCCCAAAAGCCCTTGAAGATCCGCTCATCTATCAACCTTCAAGATCAAGCCCCGAAGGCCCTTGAAGAAACTTCCATCAACCTTCAAGATCAAAGCCACGAAGGCCCTTGAAGAAACTTACAACTGTTCATCCAAGATCAAGCCTCGACGACCCTTGGATCAACAAATCTACATCTTACGGAGATAGAATCAGAGGATCAAATTACAAAGAGATCGTAACCCCAAAATCATTAAACACAAAAAATATTATTTTGTGCATGTATTCTTGTCTCTTGTTTCAGGAATCATTCGTGTTCACAATAATGTCGAGTCTAACCAACTCAATTGTTAGCATGAATCTACAGTAAGTCCGGTTATACGATGAAGTTTGATGAAGTTGTAAACGGTAAATCCCACGAAGGGTAATTCCGTGATGTAAGTAGGTAAATCCCACGAAGGGTAATCCTACATAGATGTTGATTTTCTGTTGTTGAAATTGTGAAGGCCGATGCCACTGTTAAGAGTAGTTGTATTTTGGTAAAATCCACAAAGGGCGATCCCGTGGTGCTATAGTTAAGGCCGATGCCACACTATAGTTTGTTATTTTTCTGTTTAAAGGCCGAAGCCAATGTTAAATGAAGTTGTTGACGGTAAATCCCACGAAGGGTAATCCCGCAAGAAGTTGTTATAACCGGCCTGAGGGTGTGTTACAATTTTATAAGAAGCTGTTCATCCACGAGTTTGTTGGCACTGTCATAAACAAGAGGTTTTGGTGGTTGGGTTTGGAAAGCGTGTACTAAGAATTGATACTACTAAAGTTGTGAAGGGTGAACCCCCTTCTGCTGATGAGCCTCTCAAAATGTCCTGTTGAAAAGCTGATTGATGGAGTCAAGTTTGTCGGTAAACATGATGGAGAAGTGACTTTTCGATAAGGAATTTGGTGTGTCAAAAGAGTTACTCATGAGACTTTGGTGTGGGATTGCAAGATTGCAGATGGTTCAACATTGTGTTCAGTGATTGTAGATGTTCTTCCAATCTCAAACTGGGTTTCCCCAGTTGAGATTGAGGGGGAGTATTAAGTATACAAGTTAGCAATACAGTTAGTAAGTTGGTAAGAGTAGTTAGGCTCTCCCTTATAAAAACAGTTGTGTAACCTTCATTCCATCAATCAATACAAAAGCATATTTCTCTCTCTAAATCTATCTCTCTGTAAAACTCTCTGTGTTGATCTTTCTTCTCTTCAGCTTTCTTCTTGATTTTCTTTCAATTTCCAAACATTACAATGTAGCTAATAGTTGTGGCAGCTACCCCATCAATCACCGGCATTTATATATATTCCATGGAACGTAAACCAACTGCACCTCCGCGGCGAGTAATGGTGGTGGCCGATCCAACCCGGGAATCAGTGGGTGCACTCCAATATGCGCTTTCTCATGCAGTACTCGAACACGATGAATTGATCCTTTTCTTTGTTGAGAACCAAAATACATGGAGGAATGCATTTATGACGTTACTCAAAATACCTAGCATCGCCTCTGTGGCTTTTGCTACCATGTCCTTCGAAGGAACCGTAGGGGAGGACGTGGATTTTCTTAAGGAAATGAAGAAAGTTTGCGAATGCGTACAACCAAAACTACGTGTCCGTGTAGAGAGGTTGGCAATGGAGGAAGTCAGAGACAAAGCACACACCATTCTACATCAAAGCGACGTTCTTGGGGTCGATACCATAGTTGTAGGGCAACGAAGGAAAATTTCAATGGATATTTTAGGGTGAGTTTTCTTTATCGACATTTCTTTTTTGGGGTAAAGAGTTACGAATTAAAATCGAATAAGTTGTAGGTTTAATTCCTTCCAATGTAATTGTTGGCTAAATATTTTTGTTTTTGTATGCGTGTGGAACAGATCACATACGTGGCCTGGAGGGCGAGGGGTGAAAGGCGATAGACACGGCGGACTACTAGATCGAAAATAGCAAGCGGACTTGTGTTGCAGTACAGAAAAAGGGGTTAGACGGAGGCTACCTTCTCAACTCAAGAACCCACAAAAATTTCTGGCTTCTGGCTTAACCTCGCTCGCTTGATCAAATCACCACCTTAACCTGGCAGGGATCGTGGTTAGTAATTCATCATGTTTAATTTCTCTCGGTAAAGGAGTGAATTCCATACGTACAAAAGGAGATTGCACATATTTGGAAATGCTGCTGGCTCTGAGAAACCCTTGGACATATTTGACAATGCTAGGTCACAGCAATTACAAACTGTACAAAGTAATCTCCTCATTGGTTTGCAACACACATTTCAGAGTTCTTTCTGCTTGCATGAATCTTTCTACTGGTTACCCTCCACTTCATGAACATTATAAATTGTCATATATTAGGGCATGATCTATGCCATTTGTAGATAACAACTAAGTTGTCTGGTCGGCTGGGTACGTATATCTATTATTTCTACAACATATATTACGTGACCAACATCTGCTACTTTAATAGATTGTGTGTTGCAACAACTCATGAGTGTAACAAAATCTAAAAAAATAGAAACCCATACAAATTGTGGTACCAATTTCTAAGGTCGAAGGTCATTATTGACTCAGCATACGTATCATAAAAGGAAAATTCGACCTGGGCTGGTCTAAAAAATGTTAGGTTTTAAAGGTTTCGATACAAACCCTGGCCTTCAGCAACTGGGTTGGTCCATTTGTTCCTTTTTATGATCCGGGTCAGTCCATAATATTTTGAAAAAGGGTTTTATCACAAATGGTCCTTATAATTTACCTTTACTATCAAGATGGTCCTTGAAATTGAAAATCAATCAATGTAGTCCCTTAAAATAGATGTCGCAAATCAACATGGTCTATTAAAATTTCCGTTAAGTGCTGATGTGGCACCTAAATGGGTCTCACAAGATTTACGGGTTTTTATCACAAATGATCTTTGAAATTGACTCACACCATCAAGATGGTCCCTGAAATTGACCCACACCATCAAGATGGTCCTTAAAATTAAAATCGATGAATGTAGTCCTTGAAAATAGGTGTTGCAAATCAATATGATCATTCGGCCACAATTCTGTAAAAATAAAATAAAATAAAATAAAAAATTATGTGCTAATGCGGGTTTAATAATTAATTTAAAAAGTTGTCTAAATACCATTTTGCACATGAGAATTTTTCTTTCTTATAGTAGGACCTACTCTGAAGAGATCCATTCCATAAATTCTCAAGGGCACAAGGCAAAACCAAAGCCTAAGATGGGGTTTGGAAAAAGTTTTCAACCAACAATAAACGCATTTCGGTTATAACCTCATTATCTCACAGCAGACCTCGCCTTTCTTTGAGTCACTAGACCACCAGGGAAGCGCCGAACAAGAGCTTTCCAAGATTATGATTGTGAGGATGTTGATCACTTAAATGTTAATGGTGATGTCCCAGAAGTCGTTGCCAATCAGCCAAGCCGTCACCAAAGGTGATATCGATCCATGTTCAATTCGATGAAGGGTGTCAAAGTGTGTAAAGATGGGTGTATTGAGATTTTTTTTAGAGAGTAGACAGAGATAGAGGAATGTGGATTGGGATCAAAGGTGATTGCAAGACTGAGTTTTTGGTTTGACAACTTTTTATTAACTATTGAATTATTAAACCTATTTGTAATTTTTTTAATTTAACTAGACTTGTGTGATTCATTTATGTGTCACATTAGCACATTACAAAATTGTGATGGAAGGACTACAGTAATTTGGGGCACTTACTTGCAAGGCTACATTGTTTAATTTTCAATTTCAGGGACCCTTTTGATGTCACAAGTCAATTTCAGGGACCATTTTGATGTCTTAGGGTCAGTTTCAAGGATCATTTGTGAGGAAAAAAGGACTTATGGCACCCATTTATGTGCCACATCAGCACTTAGCGAATTTTTTAACAGAATTCGTGACTCATTCATAAAAACTGTTACATTAAAATGGATGGAGGAGATGAAAACTTTAATTTAAGTTGTAACGGGTCAATAATGCAATGCTTAATTCGTGAATCATTCCTTATTCCTGACTTTTCCGATTGAGAGTTTTTTCAGATTTTAAATAAGTAAATGTGACACAAATGTTTGAAGAAAATGTTTATCTTATCAACCGAAAATTCTAAAATACATTTAAATATTGAATACTTCGCCACTTAAAAACAGTAGATCTAGTCCAAACAATTGTCAAAGAAAATTGATAACCCTAGGAGAATTGTGGCCTCGCCCACTTATTAGAAATTTAGAAGTAACTCTTTTGTTGCTTCTTGTGGGGCATTCAGATGAGGTCGTCCACTCACAGTTGGCCCTTGCAAGGAAGGACTCGAACAAATATTAAGTAGCAGTTGTAGTGTTGTACAAGTAGGGTTAGCCTTGGCGCAACAGAAAAGTTGCTCATTTGTGGCAAAAAGGTCATGTATTAGAGTCGTAAAAACAATTTTTTTGCAAAACAAGAGTAAGACTATGTAAGATAGACAGTTCCACTTCAACCCTCGCAAAGCAGGGCGCCTTTTGGCTTGGGGTCGCCGTAGTGGTGTTGTACAAGGCAAACACAAGACAAACTATATACAAGTAATTGAAAGCCAAAGTAAAACCTAAAAATCACCACAGTACAGAAACAACGCGGAGTCCCCGACGGTCATTTTGCGATCAACGCAGAGTAAGATACTCACTTATTATCTTTATCATTCTTACGGTATAGCTTCTTTTGGTGATATTCTTTTGGTAATCAACGCAGGGTCCCGACGGTCTTCTTATACGTGTACCACTCGGAAATGAAGAGGTATACTACTAGGTTAAGAACACTCAGCATTGCTAATAGCAAGAAGAAATAATCAAGGTGTCCGTAGTTCAAATTGTCCGGTATCCATCCAGGGTTGCCGTCCTTTGTAGTCGTTTTTGTAACGATGGAGACAAGAATAGAGTTGAAGTAGTTTCCTAGTGCAACGGTGGAGAGTGAGAGAGCAGAACACAAGCTCCTCATGGCGTCTGGGGCTTGATCATAGAAAAACTCCAGCTGTCCTATGCATGTGAAAACTTCTGCAGCTCCTATGAGGAAATACTGAGGTACCTGCCAAAAAACTGACATGGGCATGTGCTCGTATTCGTAATAGTTGTTCTGTCGAACACTTCGGAGTCTGATGAGTTCCAAAACTGTAGCACAGACCATGGAGAATATGGAGATGAAGAGGCCAATGCCCATCCTCTGGAGTGTAGTTAGGCCATTCTTGTGACCAGTGTGTTTTCTAGCTGCTGGGACAATGATTCGATCGTATATTGGGACCCAAAAAATGACACTTAGGGTGTCAAAGACGATAAGAGATGCTGCTGGGATTTTGAAGCTAGAATGGCCAACACGAACATCCATGAGGGTGCCTTGCAACACAAAGAAGTTGCTCATCTGATTGCAGGCTGCAGCAAAGATGATACCAGCGGCCCATATAGGAAGCAGCCTTATGATTGATTTTAGCTCCTCGACTTGAGTAACTGTAGTGAGTCTCCATGGGCTTTTCGAGTCCTTTATATTGTCATCTTGTACCTCCACCGCTGCTTTGTCAAAGAACCTGAGCAGTAAAATTTCAGGTCAACAGAACAGCAACAACAACGGAAGTAAAACTACGAAACCACCATTCGCTCTAATGCTAGAGAAAAAGAATTCTCAATCTTATAGTTTGATTACTGAACTGAAGTGAGCCTTAATCCCATCTTAGCAATATAACTTTAGAAGTAAAGAAGATTTTTGGGTTTAAAAACTAACCTGAATTCATTTGTGTGATCAAGCTTGCGGCTTCCTTGGATGGAAGATTCTGCATCTGCAGTCTCATACAAAAGGGACTTGTCTTCCGGTACTTTCACCTTGTATTTTCTCACGGACGCCACAACCACCTGAATTATGCGTGTCACAGGACTACCTCCAGGCTTCTGATTCCTATACAACCGAGTCCCCGAAAAGAAACTCAGCACAGCAATTGCCATTGCCACTGCTGGAACACCAAAACCCCATCCCCAACCCACGTTGTCTTGTATCCACACCAGCACAGAACTAGCAATCAAAGCACCAACATTGATGGAAAAATAAAACCAATTGAAGAAAGAAGCCTTGTGCTTCTTTTCAACCTCATCGTCGTCGTCAAACTGGTCTGCACCGTAGGACGAGACACACGGCTTAATCCCTCCTGTCCCCAATGCTATTAGGTAAAGCGCTATGAAAGTTGCTGCAGTTTGTCCACCATTTGCATGGCAATCATCTTTGCTAACACAGGTTGGTTTCATGCCCGGGACCGATGCTGACATTGTCAAAAGTGTCATCCCCTATGCAAACAATTACAGAATCCATAAGTTTCTATTGAGTGAGAAGATAAAAACCAAACAAATCAAATTCCAACAACACCCAGCAGGGTCATGTATTAGAAAAATTAAGGCAAAGTATGATTGTTGGCCTGCAGTAAGCTATGTTATGAATTAAAGGGACATTTGCAAATCAGTTGGGATAAGCAAATAGAACCCCCCGTCTGATAACCATTTCGTTTGTAGTATTTAGGTTTTCGTTTTCACTTTTTATCTCTCATTTGGCCTATATATTTTCCTTATATCTCTAACGAAAAACTAAGAACTAAAAAAAAATGATTATCACTCACAGTGTTTAGTGCAGTGGCAGAAAACAATGATGCTTATGCACCCTGGTGTCGCTCAATCCCACGAATCCCCTCCCCCTAACAACTAACAATTTAACCCACTAACGATATTGTTTGTAAAAAAAAAAAAAAAAAAACGAAATGGTTATCATACTGGCTAGTGACTTTCCAAATTGAAATAAACTAGTAAGAATTTGAAGGCAAAAGAACTTACAATGAAATAAATGATTGAGAAAGAGGCAATAGTCTTGTATCTTCCCAAATAGGCATCAGCCAGAAAAGCTCCAAGCAATGGAGTAAGGTAGCAAGTTCCACTCCAATTCGAGTTATTTTTCGCAGCAACAGCACTCGTCTGGTTCAATTGGGTCTTGAAATAAATCACCCGATTTGAGCTCATTCCATAGTATGCCAACCTCTCACAGCATTCATTCCCTACTCACAAATCAAACCCAAAAACATTAATTAATTAAAAAACCAAATAAAATTAGCTTCATTAAAATAAAAACAAAAATAAAAATCCAATCTTTGATTCAACTTCCCGGACCAAAATTCATTGCATGCATGTTGGAAATCTTCAAAAAGTACCTAGAATAAAAGGGCAGGCTTTCCAGGTTCCGGTTGCATTTCTCTTCGCTGGGTTTCCACGGAAATCCACCGTGCCATCATTTGTGTACACATCTTTTTCTTCCGGTGGTGCTGCTTTGGCGAGCATATCATCTTCTGCCATGGCTTCTGGACTCTGTTTTGCTCTTGTCCTTTTGGGGTGTACCCAAAATTTACAAAAACCCAAGCTGCAAACCCAGCAACTGGATTAAGCAAAAGGGTTAATCTTTTTCACCAATTTTTGTCCAAATTTCAACACAAAATTACATACCAGAGGCAGAGTGCAGGCTGGCAGAGATGCAGATGGAATGGAATATGGAACTTTTTAAATGTAATTATCTGTTATTCGGCAAGAGAAAGCGAACCAGAATACTGATGAGTGTGGTGCTCAATTACGTAGGCTCCCATCGCGAAAAAGATTTGGCAAATGGCCGGTTTATTTGCATTGACTTGTCTCCAGAGGATAATGAACATGTTTTACAGTATGTGGATGCATGTGGCCGGGGAAGTGTAAAATATTATTATTTCTTGCAATTGCCATGGGGTTAGGGTGGAGCCAACAGGATTCTTTTGGTGTGGATCTTAAAGATTTGTGATACATGTTCATTCATCGTACATCGTGATCAATTTTGTCAAGTACTGTTTTTCTTTAATTTTAAATAAAAATATTTAAAATAATTTCTAACCGCACGATATACCATAAACGAACATAATTTACGAGTCTTCAAATCCTCACAAAGAAAATCCGACGAGTATCCGGATTCCAAGGTGGAGATTCCAAGTTTTCGATTGCCGTTTGAAATTGGAAATACAGTGTGTGAATATGCATACCTGACAACTGTATGAGCTTATTATAATGAAATCGTGAATTAATAACGTGACACGTTCTACGTCACGGGAATTTTTTTAATAATTATTAATTTAACTTTTACTTAAATTGAGGTGCAAATTTGACCGTAACAAATGTGGTGCACAAATTCAGTATGCCTAAATTTGTTAGAGTAGAATTCTTTCAGCTTCAAATTCTCCTTTTTTCTACTTTCCTCATGTTTGAACGATTACTATTAAACAACGTTTAATATCTTATGTTGACTTGTTTATAGAAAAAAGAAAAAAAAGAAAGCGAGAGAGAAAGAGACTGAAAGAAAAGAGATTTGGAGGGGATAAAAAAATCTTATTGTTTTTTCTGTAAAGAGTAAAATGAAGTTTCCTTAATCATCAAACATGATCCCATGAATACGTAGAAAACACGTATCTAGTCATGGTTGATTAATGACTTCTCAAAATAGAATATATTCCAAATACATATGTCATGGTTTCTTACTTGGACATGATACAAATATTTAAATTTAATATTTTTAGATACTTTTTCATAAGCCAAGAGGCAAATCTTGTGCCACTTCAACTGGTCGTATAAACTAGCACGCATCTTAGCTCCGAAGTCTTTTCCATAGAATTATAACAATTTGTCCCACTCCTCAAAAGCCCATAGGAATGGAGTTTCGAACGGCCAAAGACTGTTACAATTCGCAGCGGCGGCGGAGCTTCGAACGGCCGAGTTTCGATCGGTCCGCAACGGCGGAGGTTGATGAGCTGAAGTTGGGATCAAATGCTAGAGTCTCCCCTGCCACTTCAGAGTTGTTCTATGGGGCCAAGCTGCTGATCACAGAGAAAGAATTGATGAGTTCGATGGGTTCGAATTCGAAGTTGAAATCTGCTGAAGATGATGAGCGTGCGGAGGAGAGCAGCGGCGTTGAGATTGTCTCTGGACATGTTTGCAAAAATGCGGCTTCGGAATCAACCAATGGGGTTGATGTTGATCGTCAAAAGTCGAATAGGAGGCACAAGAAGTGGAGCTTTTGGGGTTTGATGCAGAGGAGAAGCGAGAAGAAATGCGTAGACGAAGGATCCGCGGATTCTTGGCAGAAGCTGAGGAGGGTGGCCAACGGAGAAGAAGCCAACGCCTCCGTGAGTCAGAAGCTGATTCGAAGTTACAGTGTCAGCTGCCGGAACCAGTGCAAAATGGTTGGCTTGTTAAGCAATGTGAATGGTGTTGGTGCGGAAACTAAAAGCAATGAAGTGAAGACTCTGCAGAGGAACAAGAGTGCTCGGTATTCGCCGAGCAATCTCGATCACGGGTTGCTGCGGTTCTACTTGACGCCGTTGAGGAGCTATCGGAGGAGTGAATCGGGAAAGAGCAGGCCAGGCAACAACTCACAATATCTGTCCAAGAATGTCTTGTAGATGTCTTTGTTATGTAGTAAAGCCAAATTTTAGTGGATTTTCTTGTTTTCTGAGGAACACAAACACTTCCCCTAACGGTTTTTTCCTGACAATGCCAAAATTGCCAATAAGGCAATAATCTGAATTTGAGGAGTTTGTAATAATACAATTTAGTTTGTTTATCTTTGAAATCATTGGTACACTTTAGTTTGTAGCTTTTGTTGAATTATTATTAAATGAAACGAATTACGAGATCCGATTAAAGAACGGGAGGCGAATGCGGGTTAGGTCTGTTGGCTAGGGTAGTGTATCTGCAACTTATTTCTTTGCAACGCGCTTATGCAAAGTAGGGTTTTGTTAAAAGCATAGTGAGAATTCCATAAAAATATCCAAGGTCTTGTGCATTTATCTCACAGCAATTCTTGAGCAAGTACTCACAAAGTGCTTTTATCCAAAAGCAATGCAAAGGCTAATCACTTTTACACACAAACGCATAAACTATCACATAACCATGCAAATTTTTACACATTTCACTCAGCGTCAACGACGTAACCCTTCTCTTGAAGCTCGGAGACGACCTCATTCTTCATCCGCACCCACAGCTTCTGAGCTTCCTGCTCCAGCTTCTTCTTCTGCAGCTCTTTCTGATAATTAAACGCATCTTTGTCCGTCTCGACAAACCCTTTCGGGCCAATTGTCGTGCCGATCATTCCCCCCTTGGCAATAAACTCTTCCATGGCTTCTTCATCCCCAGGGTACGGGAACTCACGACGCTCGTACAGGTGCGCTAGCTCTCTCTCTTCCTTGGGCCTAGGCTTGAGCGTCCACCACCCAAGTGGCGATTTCTCGTTGTAGAGCCAGGCCACGCCGAAGAGAGTGTACGTGCATACCAATGCCTTGCCTATTTGCTTCCAGAAGTAGTAGTCTTCTTTGCCCAATCCCACTCTTTTCAAGTACTTCTCGGCATTGAACGATTTGGCCAATTGGTATCCTGAAACGTTTCACTGAGGCATTTCGTCAAACACTTGGAGGGTTGTAAGAGAACCCAGACAGATTTATAGACCGTTGAAATGCAACACATTAGGTATTACCTGCTTTAGCATCTTGATAGCGTTTGAGAACCATTTTTGCGATCGGATATTTGTGAGGACAAATCTTTCAGTCTTCTGCAATCTTGCTCTGAAAGGAATCAAAACTAAATTTTTAGGGTCTTCAAATGGCTATTGTCGGCATTGACTTAGGGTAAAGAGAAGAAATGGGGTATATAGTTATGACAACTGAGCCAAGCAAGAAACCCAAAATCGAAAAAGACCATACAAGGCCTATCTTCCCATCAATTTTTATCTAATACACATCTTAAGGGGTAAACCGTCGTTTGATCCCTTAAATTATTACCTACGAGTAAATCACATGCTGGTGATATACTAGTATTTGACGGCAAAGTGGATGATATTTTATCGAATCTTATAGTGAGGGTCAATTTTAATTTGTTGTTCATTTGTGGCTAAAAGGTCTTATATTAGAATCGTAAAAACAATTTTTTTGTAAAACAAGAGTAAGACTATATAAGATAGATAGTTCCGCTTCAACCCTCGCAAAGCGGGGCGCCTTTTGGCTTGGGTCGCCCTAGTAGTGTTGTACAAGGCAAATAGAATGGGCGCAAACACAATGATTGACTTTTAATTAACTTGTAGTCTCTCCAACAGACTTGCATACACAAGACAAACTATATACAAGTAATTGAAGGGCAAAGTAAAACCTAAAAATCACCAGAGTACAGAAACAACGCGGAGTCCCGGATGGTCTTTTTGCGATCAACGCAGAGTAAGATACTCACTTATCATCTTTATCATTCTTATGGTATAGCTTCTTTTGGCAATCAACGCAGAGTCCCGACGGTCTTCTTGTACGTGTACCACTTGGAAATGAAGAGGTATACTACTAGGTTAAGAACACTCAGCATTGCCAATAGCCAGAAGAAATAATCAAGGTGTCCGTAGTTCAAATTGTCCGGTATCCATCCAGGGTTGCCGTCCTTTGTAGTCGTTTTTGTAACGATGGAGACAAGAATAGAGTTGAAGTAGTTTCCTAGTGCAACGGTGGAGAGTGAGAGAGCAGAACACAAGCTCCTCATGGCGTCTGGGGCTTGATCATAGAAAAACTCCAGCTGTCCTATGAATGTGAAAACTTCTGCAGATCCTATGAGGAAATACTGAGGTACCTGCCAAAAGACCGACATGGGCATGTGCTCGTATTCGTAATAGTTGTTCTGTCGAACACTTCGGAGTCTGATGAGTTCCAAAACTGCAGCACAGACCATGGAGAATATGGAGATGAAGAGGCCAATGCCCATCCTCTGTAGTGTAGTTAGGCCATTCTTGTGACCGGTGTATTTTCTAGCTGCTGGGACAATGATTCGATCGTATATTGGGACCCAAAATATGACACTTAAGGGGTCAAAGACGGAAAGAGATGCTGCTGGGATTTCGAAGCTAGAGTGGCCAACACGAACATCCATGAGGGTGCCTTGCAACACAAAGAAGTTGCTCATCTGATTGTAGGCTGCAGCAAAGATGATACCAGTGGCCCATATGGGAAGCAGCCTTATGACTGATTTTAGCTCCTCGACTTGAGTAACTGTAGTGAGTCTCCATGGGCTTTTCGAGTCCTTTATATTGTTATCTTGTACCTCCACCGCTGCTTTGTCAAAGAACCTGAGCAGTAAAATTTCAGGTCAACAGAACAGCAACAACAACGGAAGTAAAACTACGAAACCACCATTCGCTCTAATGCTAGAGAAAAAGAATTCTCGATCTTATAGTTTGATTACTGAACTGAAGTGAGCCTTAATCCCATCTTAGCAATATAACTTTAGAAGTAAAGAAGATTTTTGGGTTTAAAAACTAACCTGAATTCATTTGTGTGATCAAGCTTGCGGCTTCCTTGGATTGAAGATTCTGCATCTGCAGTCTCATACAAAAGGGACTTGTCTTCCGGTACTTTCACCTTGTATTTTCTCACGGACGCCACAACCACCTGAATTATGCGTGTCACAGGACTACCTCCAGGCTTCTGATTCCTATACAACCGAGTCCCCGAAAAGAAACTCAGCACAGCAATTGCCATTGCCGCTGCTGGAACACCAAAACCCCATCCCCAACCCACGTTGTCTTGTATCCACACCAGCACAGAACTAGCAATCAAAGCACCAACATTGATGGAAAAATAAAACCAATTGAAGAAAGAAGCCTTGTGCTTCTTTTCAACCTCATCATCGTCGTCAAACTGGTCTGCACCATAGGACGAGACACACGGCTTAATCCCTCCTGTCCCCAATGCTATTAGGTAAAGCGCTATGAAAGTTGCTGCAGTTTGTCCACCATTTGCATGGCAATCATCTTTGCTAACACAGGTTGGTTTCATGCCCGGTACCGATGCTGACATTGTCAAAAGTGTCATCCCCTATGCAAATTACAGAATCCATAAGTTTCTATTGAGTGAGAAGATAAAAACCAAACAAATCAAATTCCAACAACAACCAGCAGGGTCATATATTACAAAAATTAAGGCAAGGTATGATTGTTGGCCTGCAGTAAGCTATTTTATGAATTAAAGGGACATTTGCAAATCAGTTGGGATAAGCAAATAGAACCCCCCGTCTGATAACCATTTCGTTTGTAGTATTTAGGTTTTCGTTTTCACTTTTTATCTCTCGTGTGACCCATATATTTTCCTTATATCTCTAACGAAAAACTAAGAACTCAAAACAAAATGATTATCATTCAACAGTGTTTTAGTGCAGTAGCGGAAAATAATGATGTTTATGCACCCTGGTGTGGTTCGATCCCACAGATCCTCCTCCCCCCTAAAAACTAACAATTTAACCCACTAATGCTATCGTTTGTTAAAAAAAAAAAAAAAAAAAAAAAAAAACGAAATGGTTATCAAACTGGCTAGGGACTTTCCCAAATTGAGATAAACTAGTAAGAATTTGAAGGCAAAAGAACTTACAATGACATAAATGATTGAGAAAGAGGCAATAGTCTTGTATCTTCCCAAATAGGCATCAGCCAGAAAAGCTCCAAGCAATGGAGTAAGGTAGCAAGTTCCACTCCAATTCGAGTTATTTTTCGCAGCAACAGCATTCGTCTGGTTCAATTGAGTCTTGAAATAAATCACCAGATTTGAGCTCATTCCATAATATGCCAACCTCTCACAGCATTCATTCCCTACTCACAAATCAAACCCAAAAACATTAATTAATTAGAAAACCAAAGAAAATTAGCATCATTAAAATAAAAATAAAAACCCAATCTTTGATTCAACTTCCCGGACCAAAATTCATTGCATGCATGTTGGAAATCTTCAAAAAGTACCTAGAATAAAAGGGCAGGCTTTCCAGGTTCCGGTTGCATTTCTCTTCGCTGGGTTTCCACGGAAATCCACTGTGCCATCTTTTGTGTACACATCTTTTTCTTCTGGTGGTGCTGCTTTGGCGAGCATATCATCTTCTGCCATGGCTTCTGGACTCTGTTTTGCTCTTGCCCTTTCGGGGTGTACCCAAAATTTACAAAAAACCAAGCTGCAAACCCAGCAACTGGATTAAAGCGAAAGGGTTAATCTTTTTCACCAATTTTTGCCCAAATTTCAACAGAAAATTACAAACCAGAGGCAGAGTGCAGGCTGGCAGAGATGCAGATGGAATATGGAACTTTTTAAATGTAATTATCTGTTATTCGGCAAGAGAAAGCGAACCAGAATACTGATGAGTGTGGTGCTCAATTATGTCGGCTCCCATTGCGAAAAAGATTTGGCAAATGGCCGGTTTATTTGCATTGACTTGTCTCCAGAGGATAATGAGCAAAGTCATCGGTGTGGGTCTTACGGTATGTGGATGCATGGGACCCGGCTTCTCTGCTCCCAAACACTCCCATCCCCTTTTATCTTCTTTTCTATTTTGTGTTGTCACGATTAAATTACGTTAATATTTTATATTAATTTTTTTTATAGAGATAATAAGATAAAAAATAATAATGATATAAAATGTTGACATAACTTAACTGTGACCGCACAAATAAAAAAAAATAAAAATTTATGGAAACTGTGAGGCAAAGAAACCAGGTCTGGGTGCATGTGGCCGGGGAAGTGTAAAATATTATTATTTCTTGCAATTGCTGTGGGGATCCAGATT